ATAAATATTTTTTTTAGTGTTAGATTAGATGTTTGGGTAAATATTTTCTCTTTTACAACGTTTATTATTACATTAAAATCACAGACCTTCTGTGAAAAGCCCAGAAAGTTACGAAGCTTATAAGATTCGAAAATTCTATAATGATAAATAATATCACATGAGGGGTGAAACCCACGTTTTTTTTTTCTAGAAATTTCATTTAATTAGGCTAAGGTACTATTTTAGATGGTGATCTTCAAAGCGTACGTACGTACATACGTACATACGTAAACACTTTCTAACGTGTGTTTCACCTGTTGTAAACAGTACCATTGTAGCAATGACTTGAGGTTACATATGTCAGCCAAGATGAAAACAAATCCCATAAACATTATATATAAGTGAATCTTGGGTAAAGAAAGCCTACAATTACAATTTATTTAATTTTAGTATTATCTAATCGTGTAACATAGTTCCGGACTACGCCGCAAAGCTAACTTTCATTGTATACCAATGTAGAAATATGTTTATTTACATTTATATACAAACCGCTAGCTTTCCTTCTCTTTCAGTGACACGTATAAACTCTGAGGAATAACTTTTTAAATATTTTCTAATTTATCAATTTTGCATACTATCGATATAAAACAAAACTTTTGCATTACTAGAATAGCATATTCTTAGATTCATAATTTACTACATTATACATACCATTAAAATGAGTGAGGATATAAGAAACATCTTATTAATTGGTCGTACAGGTCAAGGTAAATCGTCCTTAGCCAATACGTTAGTAAATGATGAGAAAAATTTTAAAGAAAATGGTGAATTCAATAAAATTTTTAAAGAAAGTGATAAAAGTCTTAGTCAAACCAAAAAGATTCAAGAAGAGTTATTTAATGTAGAAAGAAATGTAAATAGTAAAATGGTGAACGTTAAATATCGAATTATTGATACCGTTGGAATTGGTGATACATCTTTGAGCCTAAGAACAGTATTAGTTGAGATAGCCAAAGGATGTAAAAAAGTTAAGAAAGGAATAAATCAAATTTTATTTGTATGTGGAGAAAGATTGACACCAGAAGAAATTGTAGCTTATGATATATTGAGAAATATTCTTTTTGATAAAAAAATTGATAAAGATATTACTAAGTATACTACGATCGTTCGAACAAAATTTTATAATTTTGGAAATGAAGAAGAATGTGAGAGTGATATCCAATTATTGCTTGAAGATAGTAATGAAGCGATTGTTGAAGTTATTGAATCATGTGATAAGAGAGTTGTCCATTTAGATATTCCACCAATAAATATAAAGGGGGAAGGAAAGCAAAGTCAAATTAATGTTAATAAAAAGGTACGTAAAGAAGCCAGAAAAAAGATATTGAATCATTTAGCAACTTGTCAAGATGTTTACAGACCAGAGAGTCTGAATAAGATAAACAAAAGAATTGATGACTTATTAATAAATGAAAATGAAAAATTGAAAAAACAACTCGAAACATCACATAAAAAGCTCGAAAAATTGCAAGAACAATTAAATAATGCAGTGAAAAGAGAAGAAAGGTTATTGACAGAAGCATCAGAAGAAGCGACAGGATCGTTTCAAGAACAGATAAATAAAGCATTGAGAAGATTATCATTAAAAGAAAAAAGAGAGTCGGATGAATTAAAAAGGAAAATGGATGAACTAAGAAAGGGAATGGACGAAATAAGGAGGAAAATAGAAAATAATGAGAGATCTATAGAATCTGGTCTTTTTGAGGCCATTGGTAAAGGTTTAGATAAGTTGATTGAATTATCAACAACATTGGTAGGAATAGCAGCATTTGATAGTAGATGCCAAATTTTGTAACTAATAATATAAATTTCTGAAGTCAGAGATTTGTACACTATGTATTTTATGGGTGGTGCGCATTTCACCGACAACCCCTTCACAGACACCTCGTTTCACCGACAATTAATTCGCCGACATGTTTATTTCACAGACAATCATTTAACCGACGTTTAGTTCACCGACATGTTTAGT